TAGCAGTAAGTGCCACAGTTAGAGCAACTGTTCCAACAGTAGTGGCTTCGGCAGGTGGTCACAACGGAGTCAGCTCCCCATGCATGTGTTTCTCCCCCTGTAGGTGGTCCTTGGGCAGCTCCTTTTGTACATGACTTCATTCTTCCCCTTTGTTTACTTGGCTTGGTAGACTTGGAGGCCGACGTGGTAAATCATCCACGTGATAAAAGACTCAGCAAATAACTTCGGCATTAGCTCCTCCTTTTATATTCTTGTGAAGACCTAAACCAATTAATGACAATAAACACAATATTAAAAAGGTGAAATTACTTCTATTTTGGCGATACACGTTCAGGTGATTAATATGGAGAGATAATTTATTTCTTCTCAAATTATCTAATGAGATAACTAAGGAAAATATGTTCCTCATATTAATACACATCTCCATAGAATTCCACATGGTCTTGTGGACTTAGAATCCCATCGAGATTTTAACAGTATCGATCCTAACATTTCAAGACCTATGAAGTTATATACAACCACAGTTCAACTGATACCAATCACAGTTGAACTGATTTTCATGTGGTTGTGTTTGCTGTATTATATTTTATCAGGTCACGTTTCGTCTACATAAATTGATAGTAAACTTATCAATTACACTATTTTGAATATGTAACAAACATTTGACTCATGTTGTAACTACTGTGTCAAGAAGATATTACTTTAGCATTGAAATTATAATGTGTCCTTATTTGCCCGTTTGTCGTTTATAAAACAAATATATTTGTCTCTTCACATAATTATTCTCACGAGTTAATTGCAAATACCTCCCCTGTGTAATCTCTAATTGGCAAATTCCCCCCTCTAAAAAAAAACTCACCAACGCCCCCTCGTGTAACCAAAGTCAATGCATCTAGACCTCTTAAGGCAAATCGTGTCACTCATTCGCGGGCTCTGCGAATTTTTATGTTATTTATAGGGTGAAATGTCATAAATACCCCTGTATAAATAAAAAAACTCTGACTGGTTAAATTATAAATACTTGAACTTATAGGACTAAATTGTAAATTTTAAATTTTCCAAAATTGTAAAATAAGTAACAAAAATTGAAGATTTTTCAGATCTTGTTCCTCGTACCATTGCGCCGCCCACCTCCGAACCAGGAAACATTTCGGCATCGCCGCCGCCTTCTGGCCTATCTAGCACCACCGCCGCTCTCTGGCTCGTCTAGTACCACCGCCACCCACCTACTCCTTCAAATTTATCTCCCTCGTCAACGTCGTCTTCTGGCCCGTCTCGCACCACCGATACCCACCTACTTCTTTAAATTTCTCTCGCTCGTCACTGCCACCGTCTGGCACCACCCAATTCTTAGCGAGAAAGAGTTGTGTATAGGTAAGGTTTTTCTTCTCCTGCACATAATCGCCGTCATCTCCGCCTTTGTTCAAATTGCATATATGGGCTGCCATAGGAAGAGTGAAATTGGAGGACAGATGGTACTTCGCGAATTTGGAAAAAAAATCACGGTTGTGGGTTGTGGATCTAGAAAGAAGGTGGGGCTGCAACAAAGGGTGATCTGGTGGTGGGGCAGCGGCGGCCGGCGTGGGGAGAAGAAGTGTTGAGTTGGGTGGTTGGTGGTGTGGGGTGGGGTGGAGGAGGGAAGAAGACAACTCTTTTTTTGCTGCTCATTTCTTTTTCTTTTTTTTCTTTTTAATGTAAATTAAAATGTAATAAAAGAAATATAAAACATATAAAATCTAATACAACAATATATGTTTAATTTCTGTTTATATTTTATAATTACAAAATTATTAATAAATATTGTTTACAAAATTAAAAATACCTACACAGCAAAAAAATAAGTATTAATAATTGTGTAAAAAAATTTTGTTTAATTAAATTAATTCCAGAGTTGAGAAAATATAAAAAAATAAATATGTACAATATACATTTTATTAATTGCTGAAAAAAATCCCGTAGGGCATTTTTGTCATTTCACTTTTAGTTAATGCCTAAGAACATAGAGGGTGCTGCGAGTTTTGAGTTTGATTACACGAGAGGGCGTTGGTGAGTTTTTTTTTGACAGTGGGGTATTTGCCAATTAGAGATTACATAGGGGAGGTATTTGGAATTAGCTCTTATTCTCGCAGTGAAATATGTATACTGATCAACCGTGAAAGAAACAATATGCTAAACACTAGAATCGAATACAAAATTGAGATGTAAATTATATTAAATTCAAACAAAGTTTTATTGTAAAGTACCATAATAAAATATACCCAAAAAGTATACTTTTTTCCCTTGGAGATTAAAGGCTACTGAAGTGGACAATAAGAGAAGCAAGACGGTAACGGTCAAATAAACTGATGTAGAATCAGAAGGCGGTGGGCCAGTGGATGGAGTCATGGTGGTCGCCTAGGGGTTTCAACATCTGTGGTTGGTGCACAAGCATCCGGCTGAGGAGTTGCCGACGAGAGGGTGATGGGGGTGGTCGCCGATGGATTTGCCCCGCCACCAGCCAACGAGTCTAGTACAGAACATGGAGCGAGATGGGGGTTAAACAACGAGTCTGGTGTAGCAGTAAACCAGAATATATATATTGATCAAACAATTATGCAAAGTCGCGAACTAACTGTTCCAACAGTTCTGGTGACAAAGCTAGTTTGGGGGATAAAAAACTTGGTAATCTGAATTGTAAAAATCTTTATGCGAAAAATGAATTTATGAATCCAATTCAGCATTCGAGAACTAAGCTTACAGATATTTGTCATTGTTTCATAAGGGGCTTGGTCGAAAAGGGGGTTGTCTCAATTGATTATGCTGCAACGGAGAATGAATTAACTGATGCTTTTGCAAAAACCCTTGATGCACAGATATTTGATTCCTAGCGAAAATCGCTTGGAATTTATGTTGTTTAATCTGATGCAGTTGCGTGAAATGTTGCAACAGTCTGTGTGTCCAGACTTGCAACTTTTAGTGGTAGGACACTTCATATGTTTTTGCATCTCATATAGGACCTGCATTAAGCATAATTTTTGTTTATATGTCGGTTAAATTTAATTTTTTGTTGGATCCAGATCTATTGAGCTTACTCCTCACATTTCCACGTTTCGTATGAAGTTTGGCAAAGTCTGTAGTATTTGTTATTTAATGTCGGATTTGATATCACTATCCTTTGATTTTCGCATTGTAATTATCGTGTGGTATTGAGTTTATGAGTTTGTGATTTTGTGTGCACGTTATGTATGGTGACTCTTCTCACTTGCTTTCTAGATTCTCTCTTCGTTTGATCTTTTTGTTAAGTGTTTGAGCAGATTGCTCGACACATCGAGATCAGTAGTCCATGTTGATTTATCTATGCATGGTGATTGCCCAGAAAGGGGGAGAAAAGAACAGCTACGCTGGCATGAACACAGGGGGAGTTCCGACAACTGTTGCTACACTGCATCAGACAGTTGCTGGAACAGTGCAGGAATGCAGGGCGAGTTCAGACAACTGTTGAGACAGTGCATCAAACAGTTGTTGAAATTTTGCAGAAATATAGGACAAATAACGAACATTGTGAAGAGAAGTTGTTTCTGCTACTGCTCTGATACTAATTGTTAGAATTTATTTCGTACAGATTAAATTATTTGTGTTAGATTCAGTTTTTCGTTACTGTTGCGTGCAGTGTTGCAACAGTTCGTGAAACAGTTCGTAAAAACAGAAATAAACGAGACACAAATTTAATGTGGTTCGGATACAATTGTACCCTACATCCACGGGGACATGCAAACAAAATTTACTAATTTTAAGTTTTACGAATACAATAGTAAGACTTAATCAAAATACAAAGACTCCCTCTTTGTTGACGTCGTTCTTGTACACTACGGTGAATTATAAATCTTCAATTTGTAGCACGTCCCTTGCTTTGCACGGTTGAACTCCATTCAATGCTGAATCCCTCAGTCAGCAGATCGATCTCCTCCCGAGATCTATTTACAGGGCGAGTTCAGACAACTGTTGAGACAGTTCATCAGACAGTTGTTGAAATTGTGCAGAAATATAGGACAACTAACGAACATTGTGAGGAGAAGTTGTTTCTGCTACTGCTCTGATACCAATTGTTAGAATTTATTTCGTACAGGTTAAATTATTTGTGTTAGATTCAGTTTTTCGTTACTGTTGCGTGCAGTGTTGCAACAGTTCGTGAAACAGTTCGTAAAAACAGAAATAAACGAGACACAAATTTAATGTGGTTCGGATACAGTTGTACCCTACATCCATGGGGACATGCAAACAAAATTTACTAATTTTTAGTTTTACGAATACAATAGTAAGACTTAATCAAAATACAAAGACTCCCTCTTTGTTGACGCCGTTCTTGTATACTACGCTGAATTATAAATCTTCAATTTGTAGCACGTCCCTTGCTCTGCACGGTTGAACTCCATTCAATGCTGAATCCCTCAGTCAGGAGATCGATCTCCTCCCGAGATCTGTTTACAGGGCGAGTTCAGACAACTGTTGAGAAAGTGCATCAGACAGTTGTTGAAATTGTGCAGAAATATAGGACAAATAACGAAAATTGCGAGGAGAAGTTGTTTCTGCTACTGCTTTGATACCAATTGTTAGAATTTATTTTGTACAGATTAAATTATTTGTGTTAGATTCTGTTTTTCGTTACTGTTGCGTGCAGTGTTGCAACAGTTCATGAAACAGTTCGTAAAAACAGAAATAAACGAGACACAAATTTAATGTGGTTTGGATACAATTGCACCCTACATCCACGCGGACCTGCAAACAAAATTTACTAATTTTTAGTTTTACGAATACAATAGTAGGACTTAATCAAAATACAAAGACTCCCTCTTTGTTGACGTCGTTCTTGTATACTACGCTATATTATAAATCTTCAATTTGTAGCACGTCCCTTTCTCCGCACGGTTGAACTCCCTTAACCGCTGAATCCCTCAGTCGGCAGATCGATCTTCTCCCGCGTTCTGTTTAAGCCCCTCTCCCGAAGAACCGATCTTGTTTTGGTATAAAAGAAGCAAACTTGTGATAATCCTTGAATCTTGGTGTCTTCACCCCAAAGCCTTGAAGCCAATATATTTTCTATGAAAATCACGTATCACAATGGCGCAATAAAAACGAGAAGAAAAAACAATATTTTCTCTTAACTCTTCTCTCGATAAAAAGTCGCCGGAAGAGCAACAAGGAAAAGAGAAATATTTTTGTCTCCAAAAAGCACACAACAACAACAAAGAAAAGAGACATATGTTTCTCTCCAAAAAGACACGCCATATTCTGTTGCTGCTTCTCTTTTTTATATAGCCTGGGAAAGACTCCTGTATAAGCAAACTAATTAAGGTTAGATACGTACAGGAGATATAGGAGATTTATAAGATACCTATCTAATAATATATTATTAAAATAAAAGAGAGATCCCATATAAATGATAATATTCCAATTAGTGACAATATAAGAAAAAATAAATAAAAAGGAATTATCCCTTCTCTTGATTCCCACACGTCTGTGTGAAATATATGGAAAGAAAGAATTCTTCTTTCACAAGACTTCTACACAAGTCATTAAGTTAAGAATAACTCTTTTTAATTAATAAGATAGTTTCCTATATATAACAAAAAAAGACAAATTAAAGAATTAAAGTAAACACGGAGACTTCCCTTTTGTGTTTCACGGTACATAAGGACTTGTTGCACAAGTTTTTACTGATCCCTTGTTTATTAGAATCTAATTAGATTCTAACAATCTCCCCTTTTGTCATTGATTGATTCTAATCATTTTCTCCCCGTGAGTAAAATGCCTGAAAATGAAACAATAGAGGATATAAAGAAGCAATAAAACATGGAGCAACTGGAGCAACGAGTCTAACTGTGGGCTATCCAAAGTGGAGCGCGTGCCACAGTTAGTACTAGACCCCCATTTTCACGTGCCACACACGTGGCTTTTCCATCCTAACTAACGGCAATTTAAAACGGTGGACGAAAATTGAAAAAAGAAACTGGTTATCTGAGGACCAATTGCGTGCTAGAAAAAGTTTAAGGGCCAAAATAAAAAATGGTGTATAATATAGGGACGAGAGTTGTAATTATCCCCTTCCAAACCCTAATCCTATTGATCTTTTCTCTTTTTTTCCCGTCTCACCCATCTTCTCTCTTGTCCTTTTTTTTTCTATGTTTTCTCTTCTTTCTTTTTCTGTCCAAATCCTTATTCTCTCTCACAGAAGCAGGTGGTCAAACAAAGAATCGTCGGCGCCCCCTACCTTCTATGCCCTCATGGCGGCACTCCACGAGGCCTGAACCACCACGATGTTGCTGTCGTGAGGAACAACAACCCCTTCTTGCCATGAGAATTGTCGTCCGTGAAGAATGAGATCAGTCTCCATGCGGGTGGAAATTAGACGGTGTCTTTGTGGTGGCGATGGTGGGGGTTGGTGATGGTGTGGTGTGACGACGGTATGGTGACAATGGAGAGACAGATCTAGAGTTTTTGGTTAGATCCGGCAGGGTCGGAGAAAGTCGTGCATGCTAGACCCCTAATCGACTATGTTAAGTTTTAATCGACTATGCTCAGTAGTAGATTAAGGTTTAATCGACTGTGATCAGTAGTCGATTAAAGTTAATCATTACATTTTTTAATTCATTTTAGAACTTTTGGTTCTTGATTCCCGATTTTGCCACGTGTAGTCGGACTTGGGGCATTTCGGCAGTGTGTATTTGTTCTGTCATTGTCAATCCATCATCCAATTTCTATAAATCAATACAATTTTTGTATATTTGTTGTTTTGTAGAAAAAAGTTGATTTATATTTTCGTTTTTGTACTTGTTTTTGTTATTTGTTTCGGTTGGTTATTGTTTGGATTCTTTTGTTTAATCGTGTTGGTTTTGATTGAATATATTACGGTTTTTGTTGTTGTTACTTTTAGTAGTTAATTTCATCATTCCACCACAATTTTAGTTGTGAGTTCATTAATCAACTATTCCCTTAGTCGATTGATTCCTGACGGAAAAAAAGTATAAAAAAAAATTAAAAAATTTAAAAAAAAGTTATTTTTAATAAATTAAAAAATTAAAAATTAAAAGCAAAAAATAATTAAAAAAAGGGGGAAAACAAAACTGGGGATGTGTGTAGTTGGAAAAAAAGATAGTGGATTATTGAGGAATGGAAAGGAGCCTGGCTTTACATCAAAGAGTGAAATATGGGTTGGACATATCCCTATTAATGAAAGTTTTTGGACGTTCTCAAAGTGCCCCATTTAATAAAGGCAAAAATGAGCCCTTTGTAATTTGGAATTACCGAAAAAATCCTCATGTTAAATAAATCAACAAGGACACTCCAATGAAAATCAGTCAAATCAAAATAGGTCCTTGACAACTTATCGTGGACACCGCGCGCATAGTGGGCTACCGGGGGTGACTTTTTGACTCGAATGACCAAAATATCCTTTAAATTATAATTTTAAAAAATTACAGATTCAACCCAAAATGAAGTTTTTGAAATTTTCAATTCAATTTTTGAAATTTTCAATTCAATTTTTGAAATTTTCAATTCAATTTTTCAAATTTTCAGAAGCGCCCTCTCTCTAAATTAACTCAAAATTGGAACATCAATCTCAATTTTTAATTCAATCCTTAACACAACATCTTCTCCTCATCGAAAAATGTCTATCTTGACCTCATCGAAAAATGTCAATCTCGATTTCTATTTAAAAAACGGCTGGGGTCACCTCCGACCAAAACCCGAATTCCTCAACCAGCCACGAAAACCCTCGGTTTCTTTAGTGAAATTCCAAAAGAACCCATGGCAGCGAGGCACCGTTGGAGTTTGGAAGCAAGCATGAAGAAGGAGATCTGGTCCAGCCAATTTTTATCTCTTGTTCAAAGGTTGGCAGCACGAAGTAGATCTAGGTGGGTGGCTCCGACGTATGCGACGGTGAATCTCTGTTGAGGTGCAAGCATAGTCCCACATTCGTTTAATATGGAAAATATCACTTCTTTATAAAGATACAAGGAGGGGAGGAGGGGATAGCAACTCTATTTATGTGACCTTTTGGAAAAAAAAAACCCTAAGAGCAAAACCAATAGGATTTGGCCCAGATTAGACAATATCATACATATGTAGAGCTTGTGGTATACCGATGGGCCCCTAACAATCTCGGCGGTGAATCTCCAATTTGAAGTCTATAACAGAGAGGTGTTGGGCTTGGGTTTAGACACGGGATGGTGGTTGATGGGTTTGGTATGACGGTGAAGATGATGAAAATGTGGGGTCGGGTGGGTGGCTTTTGTTTGACGGGAAAGATGAAAGAATAAATTGGATATGTATGGTCACCTTTTGGGCTTCTATTTCCATTTTATTCTGGAGAAAAGATATTTTGGGAGAAGAATTGTAAAATAAAATAAAGGTTGTTTGTATTTTGAGATGAGACAATTTGTACTGTAGCAAGTTAAATCATGTTTAAAAAGTGTTGGAAAAAGGTATTCTGAAAGAAGAATTTGAAAGATTTTAGTTTGTATTTTAGTTTGTATTTTAGTGAAAACAATTTTTACTATAGCAGTCAAATCATGTTTGTTAGATAGAGAAATATTTGATTATTTTTTGGGGACGTTTTTAAAAATATTTGAGAAAGATAATTTTATTTTGGGAAAATAATGAAAAGAATTTGAAAACCTAAACAAACATGGGATTGTCTAGGGTCCGAGAGGGTTGTACTTCTCGGACCATAACTGGCCAATACAAATGCTCCACATAGGATTAATACGTACCAACTAAAAAATAGTACGATACATACGTTACAAGTAAAATTACATTAAACACATTTTTTATTAAACTGGAAATTTAATTAGAAAATTAATAATTTAAAACTTAATTCATATCAAATGAAAAAAAATATTACGATCAAATCGAATAGCTTTCCTTAAACGTTAGACCCACTTACATCAATCTCCTTAATTCATAAACAATTTTTCCTCTAAAAAAAACCATCATCGATTTTTTCCTTCTTTCTGGCAAAGTTCTCTGAGCAAGAAATCATCATGTGGTTCTTCTTATCGTACGGCGTAGAGAAATGTGAGACAAATCTTTTCTTCCATACATATTGATTTTCCCATGTGTCCTGTAGAACTGGATGATTGTTAATCCATTTTTATTTTGTCAACAATTTGATCATCTGATGGTAACAGTGTTTGTATGATTTTGTAATGTATCTACTAGAATCTAATTGGATTCTAATAAACAAGGTATGAGTAAAGACTTGTACAACAACTCCTTATGTACCGTAAAACACGAAAGGGAAGTCTCCTTGTTTACTTTAACTCTTTAATTTGTCATTAATAGTTTCTTTTATATATGAAACTATCTTATTAATTAAAAAGAGTTATTCTTAACGTAATGACTTGTGTAGAAGTCTTGTGAAAGAATAATTCTTTCTTTCCATATATTTCACACAGACGTGTGAGAATCAAGAGAAGGGATAATTCCTTTTTATTTTTTTTCTTATATTATCATTAATTGGAATATTATTATTTATATGGGATCTCTCTTGTATTTTAATAATATATTATTCGATAGGTATCTTATAAATCTCCTATATCTCCTGTACGTATCTAACCTTTATTAGTTTGCTTATACAGGAGTCTTTCCGAGGCTATATAAAAAGGAGAAGTAGCAACAGAATACGGCGTGTCTTTTTGGAGAAAAACAGATCTCTCTTTTCTTTTTTGCTGTTGTGTGCTTTTTGGAGAGAAAATATTTCTCTTTTCCTTGTTGTTCTTCCGGCGACTTTTTATCGAGAGAAGAGTTCAGAGAAAATATTTTTTTTTCTTCTTGTTTTTATTGCTCCATTGTGATGCGTGATTTTCATAGAAAATATATCGGCTTCAAGGCTTTATGGTGAAGACACCAAGATTCAAGCATTATCACAAGTTTGCTTCTTCTATACAAAAAGAAGATCGGTTCTTCGGGAGAGGGGCTTAAACAGATCTCGGTAGGAGATCGATCCGCCGACTGAGGGATTCAACGTTGAAGGGAGTTCAACCGTGCGGAGCAAGGGACGTGGTGCAAATTGAAGATT